CAATAATTATGTACATTAGGCTAAGGTAACGAGCTAAAAATTAAAATATTAAAAACAAGGGATCTAGTAAAAATGTATAGAAAACATCAAGAGCTATTCAAACGCTTTTCTATATTGGTGCCACCTGGCAACTAAACCAAAATTTTTGGTCGCCAGATGGAAAATTCTGGTCGCCAAATTTTTTCGGAGAATTAAGAATGAAAAGAATGCATTACAGGCTGATTATTTTTACACCTATCTCTGAAAAACCACAACAAACGAATCAAATGCCGGCCATATACGCAGTTTCATGCCAAGTGTTTCAAGTCAAGTTTATGCCTTCTCTTGTTTCTACCTAAGTTTTCAAGAACAAATATATCCAACTGAAAAACTGCCATTTAGTTCTTTGATCTATGTTCAAATTATGGAAAGATTCCAGAACATCTTTGGACACCACATCGCTTGAATAAATATTCATGGCAAAAGAACGCATGTTACCCGTGCGCCCGCAGTGCGTATGTTATGGGAAACTGCTGAAAAAAACATGGCGGCAAAGCTTCGCAATTATCTAGCTGTTAATGTTGAAACGTTGTGGTAGATTAATAACAGGGAAATAGTTTTTTTAATTCAAAAGCAGAGGAAAAGTAAAAAGTAAGTGAGCTGTTGGTGGGTGACTTTGAATTTTATTCGCAATCGATATGGCTGAAAATCAAAGTTATTGTATATATAATATTATCGTGGCCTGAAATGCTTAGTCACCAGCTGGTGACCAGTTGTGAAATTCCAGTCACCAGTACAAAATGTTTAGTCGCTTTGGCGACCAGGAAAGCACAGTTTCAGACCCTGGCAAGCTTGTCAGCTTCGTACAGGTTGGCAGAAACAAAAACACAACTGGGTCTTCCTAGCACAACTGCATCCCGCTCAAATTTCCGAAGGGCATTACCCTACCGTCAAGTTGCCTTCTAAAACCCATGATAAGGTCTATCGGAAGAAAGCAAGCTTGAAGGATAGGGAGGAAGTATCCATTTAATTTTCAGGGTTGAGCTTTCCTTTAAGGACCTATACCTTCCCACTTTTGAGTTTGAAACTGGCTTCCGTTGGGAATAAAAGTCGAAAAAGGAGAGAAAAAATGTTCAAATATTTAAACAGCCAGCTGTTTTCTTTTGAAATCTTAACAGAAATCATGTTGCTTCTTGTCATGTTTCAACACAGCGTTGCATGTTGAAAGATTTCTCCCACAGGGTGTTGTACACATAATATAAACAATGGCCTCCATCTGGGGTGAAAATGTGCTTGGATATTATTTTGTCCATGGACATTACCTGTTCTAAGAAGTGAACAGTTTTCAGAGGGCATAACTCAAGAAAAACAGTGAGCTTTGAGGAACAGATAATATCCAAGTACAAAATATCCAAGCATATATTTGTTCCAAAATATTGTGTTTATCATCCTTCAAATATTTTTCACAACATACGCGGTTTTGAAAATTGGGGAATATCACTTGGATATTCCTCAGTTTTAGGTGGGGCATATTCAGTTATGTAATATGTTTAGATAATCAGTCACATGCAGGCGAAAATGTTTGATGGGTTATAAATAAACAATAGACTCCATTTGTCTTGAAAATATGCTCGGATATTTGTCCATGGACATTATCTGTTCTGAGAAGCGCACAGTTTTGCAAGAATGAAGTCAAGAAAACTGCAAACTTCCTGGATCAGGTAATGTCCATGCAAAAATCTCCAACCATGTTTTTAAGGTCAAAGGGTGGCTACAGTATAATATTTGTGTTTATTATCCATAGTACTTCAAATAGTTTTCACAACGCACAGGGTTTTGAAAATTGGGGATTATAACTCTGAGATTTTCCAGTTTTAACCTTTGCATATTCAGTCAAAAACCCCTCCTCCTAAGCTATCCCAAATGACCTACAGTAACCACAGTTGCACTGTGAATGAAAAACAATGACTTACATTTTTCTCTCCATAGGGGAAATTTTCTTGGGTAGGGGAGGGGCAACTCTGGGAAGTGAGTTGACTGATCACAGCAGGCAGAGATGTTCCCTTGACTGCTCGTTATAAAGAAAAATATAAGAGGCTTCAGTCTGTCTGTTTAATTGGAAGTGTGCGTTTTAAAGTATTTACACTACAATGTTTATGACCATATTTATTTAACTGTTTCCAGCCCCTCTCCCCAATTCTGGTCCCTTATAAAACCCTTTTGATCTTTGTTGTGACAAATGGCATACATTTTTCTTATTTTAAAAGGCCTTCAAGACACAAGGAAACATAAAACATGAGTGGTGTATCAAGGTCTGGTGGAGAAGAAACATTCAAATGCAATGAGTGCGGGAAAGGTTTTACAAAGAACTCTACATTAAAAAAGCATCTTAAGGGGGTACACAGTGATGAAAAGCCTCATAAGTGTACACAGTGTGACAGATGTTTTAAATGGCCTTCGCAATTGCGAGAACACAAGAGAGTACATACTGGCGAGAGACCATACAACTGTACTCATTGTGAAAAGAGCTTTACAAAGAAGCATGTGCTTCAAAAGCACATGCGGGTACACAGTACTGAGAAACCGTACAAATGTAGTGAATGCGACAGTTCTTTTAAATGGCCTGAGCAATTGAAAGGGCACCAGAGAATACACACTGGTGAGAAACCATACAAATGTACGCAATGTGATAGTTCTTTTACATGGCCTACGCAATTGAAAGAACACAAGAGAAAACATAGTGGTGAGAAACCGTACAAATGTAACCAATGTGGCAAAGATTTTCGCAGGTTATCCAACTTGGCAAGACACCAAAAGACAATTAAATGCAATGACGGGCAGTACCACTGTGTTCAATGTGGCAGTTATTTTAGTCTCTCTTCAGAACTTCAGCAGCATCTGAAATTGCACACGAGTAAGAAACCCAGGCCCAGAGCAGTCCAATGTCCTCAATGTGGTGAACATTTCAAGACCTTTTTATCTTTACGAGAGCATCTGAATGTGATTCACAGTGAACCAAAACCCTACAAATGCACCAAGTGTGAAAAACGTTTCAAATGGCACCAAAACTTAAGTACACATTTGAAGATTCATAGTGGCGAGAAACCCCACATCTGTGCTCAGTGCAACAAATGCTTTGGCAGGTTATCGACTTTGGACCGACACTGTATATCTGTACACGGTGACATAAAGCCTTTCAAATGCAATCAGTGCGACAAACGTATGTCTGACCCATCAAGTTTGAAACAGCATCTTAGGATTCATAGTGGTGAAAGACCCTTTCCATGTAGTCAATGTGACAAAAGTTTTTACTCCTCTTCAAATTTTAAAACACACTTCAGGAAACACAGTGGTGTGAAGCCCTACAGCTGTGCTGATTGTGATGTAAGTTTTACTCACAAAGAGAGTCTGTTACATCATAACAGGTCATTTCATGGTGATATGCCGTACAAGTGCAACCAATGCGGCAAAGGCTTTACCACTCCACGTGGTCAAAAGAGACACAAGTGTGACAGTGACAAGTCTAAAACACCTAGTGATGTGAGCGTGGTTGTAGTGGCAGTACTGTGAGTAAGTTTTGTTTCGAACAACAGGTTTCAAGTGACTAGATCTACGTGTACATGCACCTACACTGGGTAATTTAATTACAGTTGAACCCTGCTATTTCAATTTCTTAGGGGAAATGAAACATTGTTCAAAATGGCAGGAGTTCGAAATAGCCCATAGTAAATAACAGAAGGGAAAGTCCAAGGAAAATGGTTTTGAGTTCGAAATCACGGGGAATTTGAAATAAGTGAGTTCTAATTAGCAGGGTCCAACTGTAGCTTCCTTTTCCCCCAGGCTAGGGATAGGGCCAGGTTTCAAAGAATAAATCCACTAGTACACACATGTAGCATAGCAATACAATTAGAATGTTAATTAGATCTGGGAAACGTTGTATTAAGACATTTGTAGTTTATCACTCTCTTGATGTGAGACTGAATTTTGATGTTTTTAAAAGAATAGTTCTTATTTACTGATGGTAAATGATAAGTACCTGCCTGACCAAGGCTGTGGTCTAAGAAAAATTACGAGGAGCCCAAAAGTTCCTGGTGATTAAATCCTGGGTGCCCAGCACCTTAAGCTTATATGATAAAAAGTATGATTTTCCAGTCTCCCAAAAGTAAACGTAAGTCACCTGTGGCACCTGGGCACTTCTAGTGCACAACCCTGTGTCTCCCTTAACAACAGTGAGACAAGCCAGCAAAACTAGTTGTAATGCTATTAATTACTTATGTTTGTGATTTTTTAAGAGTGGAGGGATGTAGAAAATAGCCAGTTGTTAGGGAAAAAGACCTTCTCAAACTCAAATCTTAATTGTGACAGTGTTTGGATTTCTAATCTTAATCAGCATAGGTTTTTACCATTTTATTTCTCCATTTTCTCCTTAGTCCTAGTTTCAATTGAGAAGGTAATATCAAGACACTCAAAGCAGGGTTTGACCACATTTCCTAACACCTCTGTCAAAGTTTGTCAAGAATACTGCTACGCATCACATTTTCAACTCTCTTCTCAGTGTTTGGAAATGTGGTCAAACATGGTCTTCTGTGTTTGATCATTTACTTCATTTTCTTTGCCTTCTACTATACTCAGCTGGGCTGTACATCTATTTCTGTGCAAAAAAAAGGAACTTTCATGTTTTTACAAACTATTTGACCCTTATCCTGAGACTGGCAAACAAATGCATGTATGTTTCTCACTTTTTTTTTAATGTTTGCCAATGATCAGCCTGGTGGGGGGCTCCCATATAAAAAAGGAGAGAGGTGCTCACCGGAAATTTTGAAAAGAACCCCTAAGATGTAACAAGATCCTGTTTAGTGTGCATGGCTTGAAATTTTGTCAACCCTTAAGAGGTAACAATTCTAAAACAACATATCTGTCGTACTTTTTTTTTCAACTCAATACCCCAGAAGGTACTGTAAAAGCTCCCGCTGTGGACCTTTTGAGGCTGAAAACCCTCTGAGGTAACAAAACTGCTTTTTTTTTAAACCCCAAAGAGCGAAGATGAGCATCCCAATCCCACCCCTGGGTGATCAGACAAAAGTTAAAAGCATAGAGCCATCACTACTTATACAAGGAGTGCATGGAGCAAAACCCAAGACGTGACTCACTTCTGCTCGATTTCAA